TAACTGTGCATATGACAAAATAAATACTTTGAACTTGAATCTGAAGTTAGCAAGAGTCAACTGTGCATGTGCAAGATCTCTGGATATTCTTAACAAATATTAATTTTGTGTTTCATAATGAGGAAACGAGTCACCCAGTGCAGCGGTATGTTTTCCTGATGTGTTTTTGAACAACAGTGGAAGTCTATGGCACAGACAAATAGACTAATCCAGGACGGACAGGCATTAGTGGTGACTAGAGCCAAATCAGTGTTGGTTTTAGTCTCTGTCTGAGGAGTGTTGATAATACTGTTAACATAGAAAATGACCGGCCTTATCCTTTAACAGGCTGAACATATGCTGAATGCCTTGACTGTAATCAGCAACAAAAGACACAGGTCATACTTGAACCATGAATTATCACTGACATCAACAATAAACAAAAGAGTGACTTGAAATAATCAGTGAAAAAAAACTGTATTTCTGTTTAAAAAAGAAACTCAGAGCAGCTGAGCAGTGAATATCCATGACATGAGCAAAAAAAAAAAATCAGCTAGGACACTGACCTTGGTAACCATGACCACCACAAAGTTTTTCTCATCGATCTTGTACTCTTTCAGCAGGGTGTCATCATTTAAGATTTTGCCTGTGACATTCAAGCAGAAACAGTGAATGACAAAATACTTACAAGTACCACAGTATTTTTCTGATCATATCAATGAATTTACAAGATGATTATTCTCACTGCTGCTTCAGCATTCTCAACATGGCTTGAGCACTTTAAGCAAGCAAAAAAAGCATGCGGTGCTCTAAAGTAAGAGAATAATAGAAATAATTAAGCCATGGTGAGAAGATCATCATTTTCTATAAGTGGAGTGCACTTTGGCCCATTTTGGCACTTACAAAAAGATAACCTCCAATTTTAAAATGTTTCCGTAGTCACTCGAGGGTTTGGTCCATTTTATAGCTACCTACCTAGTGTGAATTCCAGAAGCCGTTCATGTAATTGCAACTAAATTTACCTGGAGCAATGATTTGGAAAGATGTGTAAAAGGCTGACAGAAACAATGTTTGTGTTGTCTTTGTAAATTATTTAAACAAACATAAGCCAATTAAACAAACCAAGCATTTTGTGAGACTTTGTTCCAACTGAATATGATATAGCAATGATTCTTCCTCTGTAAGACTGTGAAGTTATCCTCCGCCTCACCTGCATAAATCAGTTTTTGTCCCACAGCAGGAAAAGCGTCTTTTCCCCTGTCCGCCTCTATTTTCTCCTTTAGGGCTTTCACCTGTCAAACATGAACAAACGAACACTGATATCACTGAGTGAGTTATGGGAATGGAAATAAGTCCAAATGTTACACTGTATCACTGAAAGCTACACACAGTAGTGTCTGTCTAATGGCTGACATTTGTTACTGGAAATGTCATACCATCATATGTTATGTGTTACCAAGGTTGTTGTGGCCAAAACCTGGATTAAGTCAGATCTGTTTGGACATTAGGGTTTTCCTCTACATCTGACAGACAATATAATAAATAAAAGCTGGGTATAGCTGTTAGCAAAAATATGTTCGATGTATTTCTTCTAGTCCTCATCTGTTCCTGCATGTGTGACTACACATCTTCAACTATTTCAGTGTGAAAAATATCCATATTTCCTATTGTTAAATTTGACCAAGCTTGACTGTTCTCCCTTTTATGACATCACATCCAGTCTTTCACAGAAGCATTACTGTAGTGTATATAGATCTAGTTTTTAGAAAATTTTGCCCAACACATTGATTCACTGGGGCTGCTCCCTGCTTGATGGTGTTACTACGTTTTCTACTATGGTATAATATGTGCACCTGTATCCTAGTGCCACTGACTCTTGGACATTATGATTCACATGGTAACACTTCATAGGAAAGATTATTTATCCAACACGCTCACTAGTACTACAATATAACTTACTACATTATAAGAAAAGTCCAGAAGGTTTGGTTCTATTCTCTTAGAATGATTTACAAATAAGCTTCCCCTAGGTCAGGACCGAAGGCCTTCTGAGCGAGTGACCCACTGAGCCACCAAATATATAAAAATAGCTATTAGTCTCAGTATTACTTATATAACAGCAGGGGCAGTAAACCACTGAAGCAGAGCCACATTTTGTGTCTTTTTAATTTTGATGTCAGCCTAAAGTATGTGTGGTAAATATTACAATAAAGTTTTATATAGCATTTAAAATAAACAGCCAGAGGCTAAGTGAAACAACCATAACACCTGCTCCTCAGTACAAAAATGATAGCGACTGTCTGTAATGTGGAGGCATCAGTGACATTCATGCACAAATGAAGAGTAGTACTGAAGAGTATTCTGGATGTTCATACGTGAATAATGAATAATCAGGTTATAATTAAAACCAGGACTAAACATAACAAGGACTAGTTTTCGTTTAAAGATTTAAACTGACAGATGCTTTTGAGGATATGACAGAACATAAGCTGACTAAAGTTAAATTTGAGATAGTAAAGTAGAGTAAAAACATAAGTGTCATTAAATGCTGTAATGAAAAGCTCAATGGCCACACAGGTGCAGACTGTTACGCCTAGAGCACCAAAATACCCAGAAATGGCCCCGAGTCCTCCTATGTCAACATTAAGCGATAGGAGGCTTAAGGTATTGCATCGTCATTCATGGTGAGACGTTAAAACAAGTCCAATTGTATCAAGTTCACAAACCGTATAAATACCATTTCCGGCCGTTTTCCATATAAACTCTTCGTGCCGCTCACACATTAGTAGCGTCTCGTGGAATACCAATAAACACACACAAGACTTCCCGAGGAACACAGACAATATATTTCACTGTATTATTTGGATTGTGGGGTAAAAATCACGTTTGTTACTGCCGTTGTTTTCACAAAACCTTAATTGTATTGTATCACGCCTTTACTTTGAAGGAGCACTTGGTCAATTCCGGTCTCACAATAGCTAATTATAGCTAGTTACCTGACATGGAGGGGTTCTGCAAAATTGCTAACTCGTCTGACTGCATATTTCTGGCGCTTGACGTTCCTTTCTCAAATAAGCAAAAACACTGTCGAATCTCATTAACAGAGTTTAGCAACCTTAATATTTACATATTCGGCTATGCTACAGCCTATATGGCAGCCCTCCCGGCCTGACCGTGTTTACCTCAGCCCCGCTAACTTCTACTCACCGTGAATTCTGGGTCTATTTCTATTTTGAACGTTTGCTGTTGAAGGGTCTTTAGTGTAATCGTCAACATCTTTCGACAAGGTGTCAGAGGCAGCAAAGGTGAAAAACGACTGTAGTAACGCCAATTTCTAGACTGTAGCTGCTATTTTTCGCTGAGTATCTGTTTATCTGGGTCTAAATGTATGTGTGACTCAGCTGTCTCAGTGTCGCGGAGCAGGCTGGGTACGGACGCCATCTACTGAGATAAGCATGGATGTCAGACACACCATTCTGCCGCATTCAAGTGCTGTCGGAAATATCACACATCGGAGAGTTCGGGTAAACTCAACAAAATCATCCTCTCATCTGGCTCGTCTTGGTTCAACCTCATTTGACCCTTGGCCATTTAGTTCAGCCTAGATGCGATTGCCCAAACATTGCATCCATAATACCTAAAAAGTTAAAAATGCTTGATGGGGCAACGTTTCCAATAAAATTCACTGCTTATGTCTCCCTTGCAACAAGAAAGTCTCCTTAACTAGGTTATGGCATGTGAGGAGTTAAATGAAACAACATAAAAAAACATGCAAACATGTACCTATACCTGTGAGGAGTCCAAGAAATTACATCACTTTAGGGATTTCAAGCCTTTGTCCATTAAAGGAGTACTCCGTGAAGTACTGTACTTTAATAAAGTTGGTTCACAAAAGATCTATAAAAATTATTGTCATCATTGAAGCAGCAGAGGCTGACATATGCAGATTTTAGTCCACTGTCTGGATCAAATTATAGAAACACTTGGTTCTACCTTTGCCATAATGCAACCAATAACATCTTTTTATTGGAGCTTCCTGTCTGGTAAACAGGGAAGTCTTTGAATAAATTGAATAATGTTTTCAGTGAATAAATTCACTGAAAAGGCTCCATTTCTAATCAAAATATACTTGTCTCATCATCTTCATAGCAACACCACATAGAGGTACTCTTCATTATGATGCTGACAACTTGAACAATCAGGAAATACAAACAGACTTGAACTTTAACTTTGGTCACACTCCACAGACTTTATCTTGTGCAATAAATTTAGAAAATATGTGAAAATGTAACCTCAACACTTTGTCAATACTGACCAAAATGTGTATCTATGTGTCAAGTATTAGAACATTTGCTAGATTTTTTGATCAGACATTTCCTGATCTCAGTGGGAAATCTCTGTTTAAAAGGTTCCTTTAAACACTGATGCACTGTGCAGTTTGGCATATTTATAGAAAAAACACAATTGGTGGCTGAGGAAAAGATCAAGATGTTCACATCTGGTGCCTGAGACACTCTTGATAAAGTAGTTTTTGCCATCTGTACCTATGGTATTATTCTGGTACAGATACTGACAATGTAAAAACAGCTTGTTCCAGTAATAATAATAATAATAATGTGGCTGTTGTTTTGTTTGTTTCAGCCACTATTCTATCACTCATAAATATCTTCTTCACACCACACTGAAATAACACTGACAACATTCACACATCGACCAATACCATCAAAATCAGGGGTCAGATTGTTGAGAGAAGCTTCAATTTATTAATTGAAACTCAAAATCAGTGTGCACCCATGGGACAGTCACTCATTCAAACCAAATGAGGATTGTAAAAATCACAGTTGTCTCTAATGCATTCTCAGTCAAACACACACAAACACACAAAGAACTGTGTGGAAAGCTTTGTGTTTTGAGGGAACGAATGTAATGACTGAATAAATTACAAAGGGGGTCGATTAAAAAAAAAAAAAAAAAAAAGTACTATATCACACAGGAGAAATAAAAGTGCATGAAGCAGACATCACAAACCCTCAATATCCAGGACATCCCACCCAAGGCAATAATAAAGGGCAACTTTCTCTGTGAGTATGCAGGACACACACATCAAGGGATTGACCACATTCAGTAAATTACATTAACTTAGAAAATTCACAACCAAAGCAGGCACAGAACAGAAGGAAAACATGTAAACCCTTCTCCCCTCTCTAATTTGAGGACTTTTAAAGAAGACAAGGGAACTGATAAAAAAATAAATCTGATCTGACCCCATCTTCTACCCCTCCTCCGCCCCTACACCTGAATAAAAGGCTGCTGTATGTAAGGCCAGATTTCATAGGGCTTTCACTAATTTTCTTCTGTTAGCTTGAACCTGCAGAGAAGGACACAACAGTCCACCAACGGGCTCCTCCACTCTACAACTCATCCTTGTGATTGACACTGCTGTCCTCCTCTTCTGTCCCTGCGTCCTCCTCCGCCTCCTCATCATGCTCGCCCTCTTCTTCTGCCACCTCCTCCTCCTCCTCCTCATCATCTTCTTCTTCTTCGTCGTCCTCCTCCTCATCGCCTTCACCATCCTTCTTCTTGCTCTTCTCCTCCTCCTCCCTCAGTTTCCTTTCCATGTCCTCCTGCTCCTCCTTCATCTTCTTCTCTGGTCCCTGGTGGGCAGAGAAGACGAGCTGTTATAACGTTCTCAACAGGAGTATAGAGTTTAATGGTGCATTAACTAAATCCCTTTCCAGACATGTACTGATACCCTGAAAGTATCTAGATGTTACCTGGAGGAGTTGTATGTGAGAACGAAAATGTCTGAGTCAATTTGCCCAGAAATTAAGTGGACTTTACCCTGCCAGCTCCCTAGTCCAAAGTCCACAGAAACTCCAAGTCAGCTGGAGTGAGCCCACATGAAAATACAGCAGCTTATAGTCCATTATATATATATATAGCATTCACTCTGAGCTAGGGGTGTATTTATTTACAGTACCTTCAAGATGATGGTGCTTTAAGATAAAGAAAGCTCAAGTTACTTGATTCATGTCACACTGTAGAATGCTGCTGTTAGACTTAATACTAAGTTCACACTGCAGATGACATTATACAATATTACATTCAACAGATTTTTAAATCAATTTTCTTCATGTACCACATACTGTAATTCCACTAAAAATGCAATTTTGGCCCCTATATTTACTCACCAGATAAAATCATTAAGCCCTCCTTATGTCACATAAAGTTTGAACACTTATTGGGAATTGAATTTTGGCAAGCTGATATCCAAACAGGAACCAGTGTGGCAGCAGCAGATGTTGCTAATTATGGAGCCCAGGCACTCAGAGACCACATTTTATCTAAAGGAGTCATTTTTACCTAAGCTCCCTTTCAGCTGGAAAGTCAGAGTCTGAGATCAAACTACTATGGCTGACCTACAGCTTGCCCTGAGACAAGACGGTTCTCCCCGGTGATGACCACATACGCCGACTTGTCAGTCTTTGACTAATCACCAATTCAGTTCCAAGTCGAGAGCTTTCAGCCGGCTCCTAAGGTGAAGGGTCAGTCAACAGTGATTTCAGGATCTAGCCTTGAGCTACACATAGCCTAGCCTGTTAGCAGGCCATCACACCTCTAGGCAATGTTTAGCCAAACTGACAAATCCTGACAATTACAGCAGCTGAAATTCTAAATCCCTAGCTGGCTTCCCATTCCCATGTTCACTAAAATACACAAGCAAATGTCAATGCCTCTTGGTACAGATGATGAGTATTGGTCATTATGTGTGACATGTTCTTCTACAATAGGTAGCATAGTGTCATAGTCCTACCTTAGTAGCTCCCCAGGTTTCTTTACCAAACTCCTCTGCTTCTCTGACATCATCAGTGATTAGAAAGTTGTCAAAGATGGTGCCAGATTTAACCTGAACAAAGACAACAAACACATTAGCATTATTTATTCGTGAAATCCAAACAAATGATATTTCTTATTTGAGTCAACTCAGTGGTCTCGCTGAATATTTAAAACAGCATGAAACAAATCTGTACATATGCTGCATTTCAGCTCTAAAGTCATTACACCTCTTAGTGGGTAAGTAGAAATAGTTACCTGCCACAGATCCAGGCCCAGAACTCCAATGTTATCAAACTTATACATCGTGGCATCATGAGTGTATTCTGGGTTGTCGATCTCAGGGTGGACCCAGGGTCCTTTGTAGTCTGGGTTGTCAATCTGCTTGGGTCTCCATTCTCCCTGCAAAGACAACATAACAGGGCTTAGGACTAGTGAATATTAGACCAATTCCATGAAAGATATAATACCTTCAGAATATTAGCACCCTACCCTAAGCCTAAGCCAAAGCCTTTAAGATACACCATATTCTCACAAACTCCAGTAAAGGGCTTTCAAATCAAACATTTGTCTATATATAGTTCCAATCCATGGTCTTAACTATACAAGTCATACCTTATACTCTGGGTTGGTGATCATAGGAGGTTCCCACTCTCCATCCATGTCCTCATCCCAGTCACTGGGCTTCTTGGCATCAGGGTCAGGGATGGTCTCTGGCTCGTCCCAGTCCTGGAAGGCAGCAGAATTGGAGTTACTAAAAATACAATTTCAAAACATGGTGCACATGATACAACTAAACTGAGCTGGGCCCTGTGCATGGACAACTAAATTGGTTTGTTGATTATTTGACATAAGCCTGGATTTTTTCGGACCTTCAAAGCTGGAGTCCATTTTATTCAGAGTTGTTGAAGCAACATTTTCTTAAACTCACATTATCAAAAGTGCAGCTTATTCATAGGTCGTTAGACCCTGATCAAGGCTTTTCCTGGTGAACCTTTGCTCTGAACACCAACAGAGTGATGTAGTTTGAAATATGATTTGAGATAACAGCAGGGACAGAACCTGGTCAGAACAGAGGGAAGGATGACTGCAGCCAGATACAGAGAAATCTTTGAAGAAAACTTGATGAAGAGTGCACACAGCCTGAGACTGGGGAGATGGTTCTCAGCATGACAGTGACCAGAAGCATACAGCCAAGACAAAACGGACAAGTCTCAGACTGTCCCTGAGTGGTCCACATCTGTGGAGAGATCTGAAGATGGTAGCTCACAGACACCTCACATCTAATCTGACAGAGGTGGGGAGGATCTGCCATGAAGAATAAGGTAAACCGCCCAAATCTAGGTGCTCAAACCTGCCAAAGACCTGCTCAATGCTGTAACTGCTGCCAAAGTGAAAATGAGAGATTCCAGTTTGTGGTTTTTAATAAACATACAAAGAAATACGTAGGGTAGATTGATGGGCAAAGTGGCAACCTTTATTCATTTACATGTGCCGTTTCCACCATGTTCAGAAGAATTAGTCTGTTATTCTGATAATAACAACAAGGGATCAAGGGCACAGCGGTGCAGTAGTTAGCACAGCTGCCTCACAGCAAGAAGGTTCGGGGTTTAAACCCTGGTCAACCCGGGGCCCTTCTGTGTGGTTTGTCTACATGTCAGTCCTGTGATGTACCCCAGAAAACATACAGGTGATTGAAAAACCACTACAGTCCACTGCTTTTATTTTATGTTTCAATATGAAGCATTAAATATACTTATACATGATGGCATATAACACAAAATAAAAGTTTGTACACTAAAACAGGACAATAGTTTGAGATGCTTTGGACAATTCAACTATAAGATTCGTGGCTTTTAAAGGACCACAGACAGCCAGAGCAAACAGTATTTTATATGAACTTGTCATCTGAACATTAAAACACATTAAATGGTTACCTGCAAAATTCATTTTGTAAAAATTTTCTGTTAATACAATTACAGCTGCTTTTTAAGAGCTTTTAATTAGGTCTCATTTTCATAGCAGTGTTATAAATATCAGCTGAAGTCCCTTGCACAGCCAGAGGGAAGAACCTCACGCAGTCATATGAATGCAGCTCAGGGTTTCAGCATATCTATCATTTTGCCTCGATTTTAAAAATATGAATATATTGTTTTTTTAAGATAACTTCATCTGTTTGCAAAAACCAAATTAGCTGGATGAGAACTCACAGGATTATTTTAGCCTGAGAACAGCATCTTAGGCTGAATTCATAAACCACACTTGAAAAACAGGATTTCAGGGAGAATGTGAGGGTGAGTCTTTGTCTCTCTATGCGTCAGCCCTTCACTTGACTATGTGTTCAGTCAGGTGATATTATCTATGTGGCTCTGACAGTAACGGTATGATGGAGACTGGCTTATGGAATTCAATATTTAGCACATCTAATACTTTATATTTCGATTAAGCCAAAAACCCAAGTCATGATACAGTATGTGAAGTTAAACTAATCTCCTACCTCAGGTTTGGTGTCACTGGGGTCATCGATCTTGGCCCTGTCATCCCAGTCACTGGGTTTCTTGGCCTCAGGATCCTTGATCTTCTTTGGGGGCAGCATGTCCCAGTCATCCTCCAGGGAGCCAGACTCCACCTTTTCATTGTTGATCCTCACCTCATATGTCTGGTCTGGATTCAAGATCAGTGTGTACAGGTGGGTCAGCTCATCATCCTGGGAGCGGGTGCCATTGAGAGTAAGAATATTTTAATTCATTCATTACAAAAGACCAATATCAAAATTATTCATCAGGCTTTGTGCAAAAGCTACCTTGCATTTGATGTCTTTCTTGATGAGGTGGTTCTGGCCCTTATAATTTAATATTACATGAACCTTCTTCGTGCTGTATCCACAGATATCAGGCCCTGGAGACACAGGTTATGTTATTTATTTAATTTCCTTTATTTTTACACAGAGGAAGCACTGTAATTACTAAATCTGGAATAGCTTAATCTACAAATGACCTACAAGTAAACATTTGTTCATGTTTTATGGTCAGGCCTTGGGGTCTCTAGAAGACAATCATGACTCACCAAACATGATGTAATACTGTGACTCTCCATGCATGTTGCTCTGGTCAAGGTCAGAAGGGAAGATCTTGACGTAGCCACCTCCACAGTCAATCTTCTGCTCGTGTTTAACAGTGAACTGGATGACTAGGGGCTTTCCCTCGTTGCTGAAGGGCTCAAAATGGGCTGACAGGGCGTAAAAGTGGGCATCCTGGCTGGTCTGAACACCTGGGGTAGGTGCAGACAAAAAAAACAAACAGTCAAAAAAAAACAAAAAAACGAGTCAATAGCTGTTAGCAGCTATCCATGACTTTTGTTTGCAGTCATGCAGTTGTTTCCCTTGTAAAAGATTTACAGTAGTGCTTCAGACTATAGCTAGCCAGACTTAAAAGCAGGGCAAACTGGGCGAATGCACCAAGGCCCCAAAAGGTGCAGAATTACTGTGTCAACAGGTTTGTGGATTAAAGCTCTGTTTAGAAATTCATGTCACATAAGTACATTACCACCTGACAAAACCTGGTCAACCAGGAATCTTGAGATTGTGTCTTGAATAGGTGTGCTGTGTCAAGAACATAGTTTCAATTTTAGGGTTAATACTCCTAAATTATTTTGTTCAATCAAATTACCACAGAGCAAACTTGAGCCAGGGAGTATTTCAGTACAGAAAACAGTATTTACCCAGTTAAGCGTTAGGGGCCAATAGGCTAATTTGTTATCTCAGGGCCCCTGTGGCAGTAATGCTGTGTGATATATATTGTTTCCAATAATATTTTAGTTGTTTTAATGATGTGTGCGCTGGCATTATTGAGTATGTTACTTACTAAAAAAAAATAAATAAATCAAAAACATGCCTTGAGAGTCCACTGCATTATTTAGCCCAGTGCAACAGACTTCCAAAATACAGACACCAAAAGCCTTACAGCCTACACCATTAGATTTAATTGCTAGACATGGATCACCCTCATTGGTATGGAGGGATTTTGGCTTTGAAAAGAGAGAGGTGCTCAAAACACAGCACTCCGCAAACTATGGCTGAAATTGGCTGCTGGTAAAGACCTGTTTTCCTTACACATGTTGTTTCCATTCATATTATTACAGCAACAATTAATATAACAACAACAATAATAAGAGTGGACTAGTACAAACATAGGATTCAAAATAGCATCTGCTTCTCAATGACAGCAATCCCAGAAAATAGAGATCAATAGAAAATAGAGATGTCAATATCACAAATCCCCTACCTGGCAGATGATTCCAGTCCTGGATATAGTCTCAGAATATACTGTACAGGTCAATTCCTTGTTTATACAGTGAAGGTACTGAGACATGTACACAAAACTCTTTTACAAACATTTGCATGTTAGGAGACCATCTGCATGTATTGTACAAGCTTAAGACAACCCATCTGTATCAACACTGGCAGACTATACATTACCTTTATCTGCTTCAGCATCCCCATAGAACTTTCCAGCACTCAGTTTCCACTGGCCGTAGTCTGATTTATGCTTAGACTGGACCCACCGGCTCTTCCATCCATCTGAACCAGAATTAAAATGCAACTGGTTACTCACTGTCCTGTCCTGTTAGTTAATAAAATATGATCAAATCACATTATGCATCCATTGTAAGCCTGCTGCTTGTTCCAGGCACCTACTTGAACCTGTTGTACTGCATATTTATACCTAAATTAGACGATTCATAACAAAAGCAAAGAATTTTGAAAACAAAGATTATTGCTAGAAGGGATTTTATTGGGGAGGGGTGTATCTGATTAACGCTAAAAAAAAAATTCAGTTTATGTTTTGATAGTTTATATTACTCAGATCTTATCTGGATAGTTGATAAGCCGACTGTATATGTTTGATCTTCTGCTGCTATTCTAACGTAACAAGACAGGATTTAACAGAAAAACCTTCAAACATCACCGCAACTAGCTGGATTTCACAATGCAATATCAAAAGCGAAAGAAAATGTGGACTAACATAGGAGAATGTCGATTGATGAATTATTGTGTACTCCAACTGACCGACTAATTTCAGACGACCTGTTTTAAAAGTTACGTGGACATTACCTGGACGTTATTTAACTGTTAATGTAACTTTATATATTTTCATAGCTTGGATGAATTTAGCTCTCACTTGCCTAATACACACACAACATGACCTAGCTTAGCTCTACTGAAATGGGTTAAACTGATAGAGCAATGTTAGTTGTAAAAGAAATATATCTTTAAATTGACAAATATTGAGAAGAAGCTACTAAGCGACACTGTTCAAGATAGCCAAAGACTTTGACAACACGATCTTTCATACAGTAACTACACAGGACAGGAAGATATGGAACTGGCTACTGCACCTCCATCCAAAAACTGCTCCTTGAAGTAGATAGTAGCGTCGATAGTAACAGCTATCGATGCAAAAACGACAAGAATCGTCACTGGAAGCTTCATGTTGCTAGTTTCTGTCTAGCACCGACGAGTAAAGAGGACAGATTTGAGGTGAAATCAGCTATTAAAGCCTGAAGGTAACCTGAGTATTTTAACAGCGCCGAGCCTTGCACAGATGGCCGCGCCTCATTGGACGAGCGTTTTGCCAATGAAATGAGACCACGAGTTACTTTTCGGAAACGCTCGGGTTACATCGGACAAACATCGGAGAGGGGTGGAGACTAGAAGCGGTTCCGTTCTCCTGTAAAAGGACGATGTGCAAATTACGTTTCCTACCTAAAAGTACTATAATCTTTCATTCAAATCAGTGACAGGTTGTTTTCTGCGATTGTGGATGTCCAGATAGTAAAGATTTTATTTTAAACACACTGCCTATTTTATTACGGTATTTTTGTATTAAAGTGCACCATTAGTCTGACCATTAGTCATAACTAATCCATTTGGTTTAGGATATAGTACATTTATTATTATTATTATTGGCTATTTATTGTCTGAAAATTCTCCACCTGTGACATCTACATAACGCGCATGGCTTACTTTTCAAATGTAGTTGCTTTTTCGCTAATATACTCTATTTCACTTTTGTCTACTGAAAAAAAAACGCACTGATGCGACTTGATCTCACGAGAATATCTGACCTTGGACCTTGGACCTTCAGAGAGCGACATCCTAATAACCGTGATCGTATAGTGGTTAGTACTCTGCGTGGCCGCAACAACCCCGGTTCGAATCCGACACTTGCATAAAATGTTACGAATGAAAAACGTATATTCTTCCAAATAACGAAACTGCAGAAATCGTTACGTCTGAGCTGTTTTTCTTGACATTAATTCCAGAAAATCTGCTAATTAAATTACAGTAGAATATGATCCGTTTCCCTGGGCTTCAATTAAACCATATAACACTGAACCATACTTTCTTCTGTGTTTTCAGTCCTGCTGTGCGTTTTTGTTTGTTGGTTTTGTTTTGTGCTTTTTTAAATCTATGGTTCAAATCGGCCTGACCAAAAAGGACCACACCACCCAAGAGCTCACAAGCCTCTCATGAGAATATCTTCCTGGTTGTAGCCAATTATTTTTAATGAGGTTTCTGTATGCCTAAAGGACTACCTTTACTATAGGCCATTTGCTACCTTAAGAAGGCCTTAATTTTTTTTTAATTAAGATGTTAATTCAGGATTTGTTTATTATAAATTTTTGGTTTTTGTGGTTCCAAATTTTAAAATTCTCTCTACAGAATACCATTTAAGAAAAATTCCCAATTCAGCCTATACATTCTATTCATTTATCGAGTATCATACTGGAATAAAATACTGTTTGCAGTGGTTTAATATGAAATGTTACACTATTATTAATATCCATCTAAAATATTTCAGATTAATTAAAATCAGAATGTTACTGATAAAATGTTTTACATTTATACATCAAATATAATTTATCTATTACTATTGCTGTAATATGAAGTACATTAAACAATACAAAGGAAAAACAATAAACTGTGAATGCTAATGTAATAGCTTTTTAAGAATATTAGATTTGGAAATGCTTTTGAAAACGTAGCACCAAATGCCCTTACAGATCTCTTGGTTTCATATCAACTTGCTTTCTGTCAAAATCACATTTTTTAACTACCAGTTTTGAATCCACAACGCCCTGTGGGAAGTTCAACATGTATACAATAAACCAAAGAAAGGGATTAATACAGTAAAATGTAAATTTTCAGATCTGTTATTGGCTGTAACCCCGTAGTGGCAGAGAGAGGTGGCCAAGAAGAAGTTAAACTGGATTAAGAGTTGCTTGGTTTAATGGATCATCTTAGTATTCAGTAATGATGCCAAACAATGTCCATGCTGTAACTCACAACTGCCCAAGGAAACCATTAAAAGTTGGAGTATGAATTGAGTTTGGCCTTACTGCAACAAAGTCTAGCCTCCCTGACCCTGCACAAAGCATAAGATGGCAAAACATCAGTTGTCTTTAAACTGAGTGTGTGGGCCCCATCCTGATGTAGTTTGTCCCCAGCTTTGCTAAATTTAATCTCAAATTCGTTTCATTGGGCCACATCCACTGTGTTTATCTCATGTATATGTCCATACATTCTGTATCTACCATTGTTCACAGTTGTTTTAAATGTAATGTAATAACAGTATCTGTTCCTTCAGACTCACTGAGTTTCGCACTAACCCCCAGGTCCTGGACACTAAGGTAAACCCTCAGGACTTCAACACAGAAGAGTGCCTGTCGCAGGGCAAATGAGACCAAGAGGACACAGACCTCACTGCACAAAAAGGCATTATTGGGTTCTAAAGCGAAGCCTCCACCAAGAGGGGAAAAACTGAGAAAGTTAAAGAGAAATGTTGGAAAACTATGGTTGGAAACCAGAGAAGTGCCAAGAAAGACATTTGTGACATTAGTGGGGTTTCCCACCTTCTCTGTGCTGCCAAGTCCTCTCAGTGGTGCCGTCTAGTGGTTCTCTGATGCTTCTGCAACTACACGATCAGAGAAGGGCTACATGGGCAGGCAGCTGACAGAACAGGCCAAAGTCATGCAAACCACTTGATCCCTGGCAAAACGTGCAGTCACTTGTGTTGGTCAAAGAGTGTGTGAAAAATGGATGAGAACAAAATTTTCTATAATGCAAAATATATTTTTGCATGCATCTTTCAAAGCACAAATTTCCTATAAGGGAAAATGATGTCAAAAAGCATCATACTCATGATTTAGGCTCATATACAGTGTCTCTACGCTCTCTTCCCTTTAGACTTTGTCACGTTTTGTTTTGTTTTGCACCTCTGAATCACAACGCGTTCATTATGCTGCTTTGATTAAAATGTCCAAGGCTCATGGAGAAAACTTGGAGTAAACTTTTTGATGTTACTGTCTTTTCTTTGATCATGTCATCAGGCCCCATATGATTCATAGCAGGATAAAGAAAACATGGAAGTCCAGGGGGGTGCATGCATTATCTTTGGCACGCTACCGCTGTGTGTTCAATTATAATGTCGCATTGACTTTGCTAGTTTACCTTTTTCCTTTTCTGTGGATGGTTCCCAGTATTTTTAATTTCTGGCATTTGTTCATGTATGATTTTTAATTTAATTTATGAATTTACATCTGTTATGGTTGGTCCCCCTCACCAGGAGGGTGAGGGTGACCTGAGGTTAGACTCAAGTATGCTGACCCAGGTGCTAGTAAAAAGAAGGGAGGTTTTAATGGAACAATAAACACGAAGTGACAACATAACTGGGTCCATGTACATACAACAGCAAAGTAGAGCAGGGATGGTGACGAAGACCAGGACGAACAGGTGAGTAGATGGGCTGACGGCAGACACCAAGGGAGCAGGAGGATGAGGACGGACAGGTGAAAAATAATAGCGAACGTAATGAATTCCACAGCACAGGGACTGTCAGCGTGGAA